GTCCACAAAGTGCCCACTAGAGTTGGCCATAGTGGTAATCACTGGGAGGCCAAGTAGTGTACTTGTGGAGGGTTAGCTCTGTAGGAGGGAGCTTTGCTCCTCAAGAGCAAGAAGAGAGACATTGGATGCTGACGTGGAATGATGTGTAAATTTGTGGGAGGGTTAGCATTTTCCTAGTGAAATAAGAGGTAAAGAGATGGGGGGTGAAGGGCTAAGTAAGGATAGAAATTTTGAGGATGAAGAAATACTTTTTGTGTAAAGTCAGAGCTTTCTGAATTTACACAAAAAGTATTTCTCCATCCTCAAAACTTCTATCCTTACCAGTAAGACTGTTACCTATTTGGGGTTGTAGTTATTAGATGAATCTCTTTATGTTGTCCAATCTGGTCTTCAGCTCCTGGGTCAAGGGGTCCTCCTGTTTCAATCTCTCCAGTAGCTGGGACTATAGGCACATACCATCTCACTCAGCCTGGGCTGGGTCTTAAGGAGTAGCATCAGAAGACAGAAGGGCTGCGCCCAGCATGATCAGGGTGCAGGGTCTAGAATCCTGTTGGGTTTGAGTATCAGTACACCTTTCACAACTTTCAAGACTTCTCCACCTCTTCCCTTCCTCCTGTTTTGGACTCCGCCCCCCCCCCCTTTTGTTGATCCTTTTTCCTCTGCTTATAAACATGCTCAAGTCTTTCCTGTGACTCAGTATCTCCTTCCAAGTCAGTGGCCAGGTACTTTTTACTCCATACCCAAAGTATCTGCATCAGGATACTTTAAAATATTCAACAGCTCTTTTCCTTTTCTTTCTTTCCTTCGGAACTGGAATTTGAACTCAGGGGCATTCTACCACTAAGCCACATCCCCAGCCCTATTTTTTTTTGTTGTTGTTTTGCTTTTTTTGTATTTTATTTCGAGACAGGGTGTCATTGAATTGCTTAGTGCCTTGCTATTGCTGAGGCTGGCTTTGAACGCTCAATCATTTGTCATTTGCAGTACTGAGGATTAAACTCAGGGCTGTGCACATGCTAGGTAAGCACTCTAACACTGAGCTATATCCCTGCCTCCTTCCCCCTTTGACCCAGGACCTTGCTGAATTGCCCAGGCTGTCTCAAACTTGAGATATTCCTTTCTAAGCCTCCAGAGCAGCTGAGATTACAGGCATGTGCCACTCTCCTGGCTCTTTTTAGTCTTTTAAAAGCCTAAATGCATTGCCAGGTTTGTGCTGCACAGGTTGGATGTACACACTGCATTCAGAAACTCAGGGAACCCCTAGGTAGCTCACTCTGGAGGCCAGATGGAAGATGACTTTTTCCAAAGGAGACTCTTTTTTGTGTGTGCCAGGGATTGAACCCAAGGGCACTTTACCACTGAATTATATCTCCAGTCCTCTTTATTTTTTATATTTGGGGTACTGGGGATTGAATCCAGAGTTGCTTTACACTGAATTACACCCTTGGCCCTTTTTATTTTTTATTTAAGATGGGATTTCACTAAATTGCTTAGGGCCTCACTAAGCTGCTGAAGCTAGCCTCCAACTCGTGATCCTCTTGCCTGAACCTTTGGAGTTGCTGAGATTATAGGCATGCACCACTGCCCCTGGCCTGAAAGAAACTCTTAGGAAGCTGCTACAACCGTGCAACGTAGAAATGATGGCTACCAGTGAGAAGGGAGGAAGGAATTTGAGGCTTATAAACGAGGTGAAAATAGATAGGACTTGATGATTAATCAGGGATGACTCACGCATTCCTGACTTTCTAAGTCTGATGACTGTGTGATGCTGGTGCCAACAGTTGAGGGAGGGGCCAGAATGAAGGAAGAGGATGAGTTCTGCTCTGGACACACCATGTTTAGGGTGTCCCTGTGAGTTTAGATAGAGCTGCTTGCCAGGCAGTTGGATATTTGATTCTAAATTTTGTGGAAGAGATCTGGGTTAGAGATCTGATTGCTGATTTGGCAGTTGAAAGCATGAGGGTGGAGTTGAGCCCTCAGAAATGAGTGGAGTGAGAAGAGCTATGGGTTTAGAGCAGAGATCTGCATTTAAGATTTGCAATTGGTGGCACTTAGGATGCCACTGAAGGAAGCAGTGAGCTTAGTTATTGAGATGTGACAATTGGGAGTATGCAATCTTCTGGAAATGAAGGTAGTAAAAATTTTCAGAAGGTGAGAGCATCCAAGGTGTCCCACATAGCAGAGATGCAGAGAGGACTGAGGAATGCCTGACAAGTTTGAGAACCTGAAGGCCATGGGTTACTCTTGCCTGAGCAGGATGAAGAAGGATGTGAATGGGGAGGGGAGAAGTCAGATTGCTAAGTGCTGAGAAGCGAGGAAGTGGAGGCCAGCAGGGGAGACCACATGAAAGGGAGAGAAGCACTAGGCATTTAATCAGAGAGGGTATTCTGATTGGACGATTGGCTTGATAGTTTTGCTTTTAGGGCTGGGAAAGATATGAGGGGGAAACAACTTAGAGCTAAAGGAATTGGGGAAGGTTCAGAGGAGGTTTTTCTGGCCCAGCCCTATCCAGACTGCTTTCTTTTTTACCGTTTGCCCAACACTTTCACACCCCTTATCTCATGTAATCATTTCTACACCTTGAGGTTTGAAACTGTGAGCTGAGGAGTTGGTAATACACAGCTGTGGATCATTTCGGCTCAGTGGCAATCTATACCACCATTGAGAGGAAATGCCACAAAATTCTCCAGGCCCACGGAGGGGGACAAGGGGCGCTGTGTTTCTTGCCTTCGATTAGGTGTCATCATGGACTTGAGACAGTGATTGCCTCAAATGAGATGTCACCCTGAGTTGTGGACCCGTGGGGGCAGTCCACAATAAGTGTTCAGGCTGAAAGCTTCTTGCACCTGGTGAGGTCTTCCCAAGTGTGGAAAACAGGCTGCACGCAGGCGGTTCCTTCTTCTAAGATGCTCAGTCATCTAAGAGTTCTGTTAGCCGCAAGGTGGAATAAGAACTGTGACGACCAGGAGTCAAGGGCGCGGGCTAGATAAACGCAGGGCAGGAAGATGGCGGGAGCTATAGGCAGCAGGTGGCTTAGCGCGCTCCCTGCTCCTTTCGCCGCGGCCAAAACCAAACCCGCGATTTGAACAACGGGCCTGGGCCCTACCAAGAGATAAATCTCCTGCGGAGGGAAGCATTCAATTTTTATTCAGCGTGGTCGTAGGATTCCTTCCCCTAGGAGGCGGAGGAAGAGGGTAGGTGCAGGAGATTTCTCGTGCTCCTCCTGTTCTGCCCGAGGCAAGGACGCAGAGCCCTGATCCAATTCTAATTATAGTATTTGGTTGGTTTATTTGAGGGGAGGAGACCTAAAGGAATGAGAGACCTGGATTTGGAGCTAGCACCTGGTTTCCTCTTCAGCACTTTTAGCTCAAGCTTCCTCCTTTGACCGTGACTCAGGGCAAGTCTGCACTAGTCACTGGGCCTCAGTTTCTCTGTTCGCAAATGGGGATTTGGCCTGTGATCTTGCCTCTGCACGGCCGGGATGGCGAATTCCACTCCATTCCGCCAGAAGGAGCCGCCCTGCTTTATCCATCCTCATCCGATACCCAACTTTTTGCAAATACCTTTTTCTAAGCCGTTCTCCCCTAGGTAGGTTTGCGGCCGAAGATGATGTGGTGGGCGGGGTAGAGCCATCGCCCCGCCCCCATCCCGCCCCGCCCCCTGACGTCCCCTCCGCGCCCCTCCGCCCACGGCGCTGGAAAAGGCAATCACGTGACT